CCTGTGGCTGAGCTGCGTCTGCTTCGCGCTGGTGCAGGCGGGTAAGGGGGCCCGGGGCGGGGGACGGGCGGAGGGGGGGGCAGGCAGCCTCCCCTCCCACGCTGCTACCGGGGAGTCCTCGGTTCCCTTCCCGCTCCCTGAGACCTCCTGTGTCATCTGCTGCCTACTCTACTAGCCCGACCTTAGCGCCTCTGAACCTTCTTGACCCCTAGACCCGTCCTTCAGCCAGTAGACCTCTTCCCTGGGTTTTTAGGGTCCTGTGTCTCCTGATCCCTTCAGGCCATCCCCTAACCCTGGGTCTTTGCCTCAAGTCACCTTTTCTGGCCCTGGGAGCGGCTGAGGACACTAGTGCCCCACCTTGGGCCTCCCTCTGTATCCCCAAAGACCTCTCTCTCAGAGACACACAGGCAGCAGCACCTCTCTGTGCAGGAGCGACGATGATGAAGAGAACTGGAAGCTGAGGTTGCAGGGTGTGTGTAGGGGGGGGGGGGCTAAGCCTGCTGCAGTCAGTGTCTGGCCCACCCCATGGGGCCCTCCCTCCCCACATCACCCCGATCTGTCCCTCCTGGCGGCTGCTGCCGCTGCCTCACTCTCTCTCTCTCTCCATCTCTTGCCCTGCTTCTGTGTCCGTGTCTGTCTCTAACGCTCCACTTGTCTGCTCTCTGGTTCTGTGACCGCAGCCACCTGTCTGTGTCCTTATGTCCCTTTCCATCTGCACGTCTGGCATAATCCTGGGGCCTTGAGTCCACTCATCGGAGGGGTATGAGGTTACTGCCCAGGCCCAGGGCTTCTGATCACAACACCTGCCCTCTTGAGAGACATAGATAGCCCTGTGTGACTCTCCTCTCCCCGAAGGTCCTTCCTGCCCTGCTCCTCCGTTACTTTCCCACCTACTGTCTGGAATTTCCAGAAGGCCTTGCCCTATCTTGGTGTCTCTCCACCGAGGTGCCCTGTGCTGACCGTCTCTCTTTTCTAACTTTCTCCATCCCTGCCACTTGAGGCCCACGGAATGCGAAGAGGTTCACACAGACCCTTTCCCTTAGGAGCACTCTGCCCAGCTCACCATAATTCTGGGTTGCTGCCCCACTCTCATGCCAGGGCTCAGCCCTTCCTTGGCTCTTCATCTTGGGGTCTGTCTCCTTCCCTCAAGGTCACTCACTTGACAGTGTGGGATTATAGAAAGAGCAATGGACTTAGGAGTGCTTGTGACTGCTTCTCGGGTGACTGGCCAGCTTCTGCAACTCAGTTCAGCTCTCCCCCACCTCCATACCTAACCACCCATCCACTAGGTCTCGCCCTGGTTCAGGTCCAGGCCCATCAGTTTTACCTAAGGACCCTAAGTCTGGCCAGCAGGAGCTTCCCTACCAGCCACAAGGAGCCTGGGGCCTCTCAACCACCGAGGAACCGAGAGCCACGTGGCCCAGCCGAAGCCTTGGGTTCTCTTTTCCCTGTCCACATAGCCTCCCCCAGCTTCCCCTTTCTCATTCATGGTGGGACTGGGCCTCGGAGCAGGGCATGCTGAAACTCAGGTGCCTCCCTGCCCTGCAGACAGTCCCTCGGCACCCGTGAATGTCACCGTCAGGCACCTCAAGGCCAACTCTGCGGTGGTCAGCTGGGATGTCCTGGAGGATGAGGTTATCATCGGGTTTGCCATCTCTCAGCAGGTAACCCTGGAGGGCTCCTGGGAGGAGAGGGCATATCACGACGGTGACAGGAAACTGGATGCCTCTGACGTTGCATGTCTGTAATCCCTGAACACTTCACAGGAGGCAGGATAGAAGGATTGCAAGTTCAAGGCCAGCCAGACAATACAGCAAGACCCTGTCTTTAAGTTAAAACTGAAAAGAAAAAAAAGAAGATAGTGTCTGGGATGGAGGGTGGTGGTAGAGAAACAGAAGAGGAAAAGAAACACAGGACAAGAGATGTGGGCGACACATTGTACACTTAGCTTAGAATGGGGGTCACAGAAGGTCCATAGTCAGAGGAGAAGGGTTCCCATCTTGCCCGAGACATGGAAATTCAGAGCATGGGTCTCACCTCAGACATAGAGGAATTTCAGACATACTGGCATCCTCGGTAGATGTGTGGCCTGGGGCAACATCCTGACCCCTCTGAGCCTGTTTCCTTAGCTGTACCGTGGAGATAATGATGCCCAAGGCGATGGGATGATGATGGACATGAAAAGGACTTGTCACTGCGGGAGGTGGGCAGAGGTGGGGTTGGTGCCTGCACACTGACATACCGAGCCCTCTCCCCTTTTAGAAGAAGGACGTGCGGATGCTTCGCTTCATCCAGGAGGTGAACACCACCACCCGCTCGTGCGCTCTCTGGGATCTGGAGGAGGACACAGAGTACATTGTGCACGTGCAGGCCATCTCCATTCAGGGCCAGAGCCCAGCTAGTGAGCCTCTGCTCTTCAAGACCCCACGTGAGGCCGAGAAGATGGCCTCTAAGAATAAAGGCAAGCCGGGGGCATGCTCGAGTCCCAGGGTGAGGGCAGTTAGGCCAGAGCGGTTGGGCAGAGCGGGAGGGAGGCAAACCAGCTCAAAGGATGGAGATTTGCTGGAGTGCCCCAGGAGGAGACTGGCATGTAAACTTCTTCCTTTGGATCGAGTCCCAATGCTGCCACCCCAGGCAGCCTTCCCCAGGCAGCCTTCACGATGTTCCTCGAATTCTTTCTTTCTTTCTTTTAAAGATTTATTTATTATGTATACAGAAGAGGGTGCCAGATCTCATTACAGGTGGTTGTGAGCCATCATGTGGTTGCTGGGAATTGAATTCAGGACCTCTGGAAGAGCAGTCGGTGCTCTTAACCACTGAGCCATCTCTCCAGTCCCCTGGAATTTTTTATGTTGGGTGTCTTGGCATCAGTAGTGGGAGGCACTTCTTATTGTGGCCTTGGCCCTGGAGCAATGGCCGGGGAGGAAAGGCGCCCAGGACTAGCTCATCTCTCCTTGCAGATGAAGTGACCATGAAGGAGATGGGGAGGAACCAGCAGCTGCGAACAGGCGAGGTGTTGATCATCGTTGTGGTCCTCTTCATGTGGGCAGGTGAGTCAGGCTTCCCGTCCTCCTTCACTGACCCCAACCAACCGTCACCAAGGGTAAGGGGCTGGGAGATGTCTCTGAGAGCTAAGCCTGACCCCTTCTCTAGTCCCCCCCCCCCAAACACGGCACATTTCTGCTGTCTCGTATGCTGTGGCATGCCTTCCTCCTCGTAGAAGTGGTCCAGCCTCCTAGGGTGGCCGTGTCCACAGTCACTGTACCCTTTGGCCACACTCAGAGCTTCCTTCTCTTCTGGGATGCTGGACCTCTGGGGTCTTCAAGCTCAGGAAGCTCAGAGGAAGCCATTGCTTGACCTCAGACTTGGAGTGCTCTCCTTGTCTACCTATCCTTCCAGATGCAGCTGAGCTGCAATGCCAATCCCCCATCTGCCCACAGGAACAGCCTGCCTGCCTGTGTGGGTCCACAGCAGTTGCCCCTCTTTAGTCCTTATGGCCAGGCTACTCTCTTCTCTCCCTAGTCTCCAAGTCCCCTGAGGATAAAATCCACATCATTCATCTTTATGTTCAATACAATCAACCACTCCATCCTAGGCTGTAGAAGAGCCCTGTGCTTGCAAGGAACTTGGCCTGGGACAAGATTGGGCTTAACTATAATTGAATCTAATGAGTACTATAGGGTTCTAATGTGGGGGACAGGACTAGAGAGATGGCTCAGAGGTTAAGAGCACTTAACTACTGATCTTCCTGAGGACCCTAGTTCAGTTCCCAGCATCAGTATCAGGTGACTCACAACCACCAGGAACTCCAGTTCCAGGGAGAGCCCACACTTCTGGCCTCTGTGGGCACATCTGTGCCCACATGCACACACACACATAATTGAAAATAATAAAAACAATAAACAAAATAGCACTAATGTGAGAACAGAGGAAATGAGGTCAATTCTAGAGCTGGAAGTAGAAAATTAAAAACATTTTAATTAAAAAAAAAAAAAGCCGATGGAGGTGTGACTCAGTGGTAGAGTGTGTGCCCATCATCCATGAGGTCTTAGGTTCGATCTCCAACGCTGAGAACACAGGACAAAAGACCCAGAGCAGAGGGGACATGGGAACTGAGCTGTGAAGGCGAAACAGACGCTAACCAGGCAGCCAGCAGAGGAAGGTCGTTTGCGGGACGAGAGTCAAGGAACAGATGAAACTCACAGACTGACTTGGGGTAGCTGCGGCCTGTGAGAGAAGATGGAATGCTGGGAAGAAAGGGGAGAGAGGATGAGGGCTAGCGTCTTTGGAGAGATTTGAACACCGTACTCACGCCTGACTATTGAGATGGTTGAGGGCAGACTGTGGAAGAAGCATTTGGGGGAAAAACGTTTCTTATGCACCTAGAAAAACAGGTACGTGAGAAAGGCAGGAAGACAAGGGTTAGACAAAAGAGAAGCTTTGAGTGGGGACGTTATTAGGCTTGGCACAGACAGTGTTTACATAACCGCAACGCTATAAACAGAAAATTAACCCAAACTTAATGGTGGTGGAAGCCTATTAGGATGTTGGAGGGAGAAGCAGTATCTGCTGGGCTTCATCTGCTCTGATGGGAAGTTGAGAACTATCCAAGGTAGATCAAGAACACTACAGAGGCCGAGTGGGGAACACTTCTCCAACCGGAGGGAGCAGCGTGAACACTCTCCGAGTACGAGGTTGCTAGTAGATGGCAAGCCAGCTCTGCGCATCGCCTCCCTGCCGCACCACGGTGTGACCTTGAGTTACTGGCACCCTCTCACAGTGTGCTCCCTTGTGCCCTGGGGTTAATAATAATAGGTGGGCGTTGTAAGGATCGAGTGAGATTGAATACGTCAGTGCACACAGTTACAGGGTCTGGCACAGGCTCCGCGAACGCCGTTATCGTTGCTGTGGTAGCTGTCAGAGGCTCAAAGACAGGGTACCAGGGAGACCTATGATCAGACCCATGCTGTGGGAGGGCCAGCCCCGCAGCAGGGAAAGCCTCCCTCAGGGCCTGGTAGGTGGAAAAAGGAGCCAGAGGCTGGGGGGAGGCTGCAGCAGCGAGCGAGCGAGCGAGTGAGCGCAGAGGCCATCTGGAGATGGAGCGGATGAGGCAGGCAAGGTAAGAAGTCAGATCCGGGCCTCTGACTGCTCCCGCCTGTCTTCCCAGGTGTCATAGCCCTCTTCTGCCGCCAGTATGACATCATCAAGGACAATGAGCCCAATAACAACAAGGAGAAAACCAAGAGTGCGTCGGAAACCAGCACACCAGAGCACCAGGGCGGGGGGCTCCTCCGCAGCAAGGTGAGGGGAACCCCTGGGCTTGGTGGGTGGCCCTGTGCCTTGAACAGTTGTAGTCCCTGGACTGCAGACGGGGTCAGCTCAGGGCCTGGCAGGGCAGCAGCTGGGCAAAGCCAAGCTTGGCTGCTGCCTGTGTGGCACAGGAGACACTATAAATTGATTTTGGATCCTTGCCTTTTGCAGGGTGCCAAGGGCCAGTGGTGCTTTGTTGTTTTGTTCTGTTTTCTAAAGACAGCCAATGGGAACAGCAGAGCTCCTGGCTGATGTGGGCGGGACCTCAAGTATAGGGGTGATGTGCCTGGGGCGGCGTTTTATGTCTGTACCTTCATTTCCTCTTTTATGAAAACAGATATGAAACCTTTCAGTGCTTGCCCTGAGCAGCTCCGAAGACAGTAGAGAATGTGAGAGGACCTCACTGTTCTGACGATGACTGTCCAACAAACATCTGGCCCTCTCTGCGTCTCCTCCCCCATCCATCTTCTCCTATCATCGGGCTTTACTGGCTTCTCTCTTGGCTTCTCTCTTTCTAATGTCTTGTCCTGAAGCCTCTTATTAACCCCTAACTCCAGGAGCACCTCAACAATGTCAGTGTCTCAGGCTGCACCCAGAGACACACTGCAGAATGTGAGAACCAGCCAGAGGGCTCTTTGCTGCGGGTAGACTGGGTGCCAGGGTTCTCGGCACAGGACTCATGTCTTGGCCACTCAGCTTGACCAAAGGCTGTGTGTGAAAGGGCAGAGAAATGAGACTTCCAGGCAGGGCTGTTCCTTTCTTCCTGTGAGGGACAAGAGCCTGGTGTTTAGGCTGCAGCCCTGCTATTCCTTCCCTCCTCGGCCCTGTTTCCCATCTTGCAAGAAGTCTGTTCAACCAGCTCCGGCCACTGCTCTTTTGTTCCCTTCCCAGTTTCCAAACAAGCCCTCAGTGAACATCATCAAAGTGTGGCGGCCCCATCTGCAGGGGAAGGGTTTCATTCTCTGCTGGTCCCTGCGCCCTTCCTGGGCACAGGGCAAAAGCTGACTAAAGCGGTGGGGGCCCAGCTAGCCATAGTTCCTTTTCCCCATCTTAGTCTGATGGAGGCTGAACTATAAACCCAAATTCTATGTGCACACTCGCACACACACATACAATCAAATAAGCCACAAAGCTAGAAGGCCCGGCTGCACTCTGGAGAAGGCAACGCTGCATGAGACAGACCGGCCTCCCACCTCCTCGCTTCTTCTGGACTGGCTTCCTCTTTGAGATAATGCACAAAGCTCTGGGAGAGGAACAAGATTGACTCGAGCTGTGCCCTTCAACCAAGGCACCAGGGAAGCTGGGGGGCTGCCTGCCTTTCAGGGTCCTGACTCCATCAAGCCCGTTCTAGATCCGGCCAAAAAGGACATCTGCGGTGTGAGGCACACCTTTGCGAATGTGTTTGAGGTTACTGTTCGGACTCTGGGAAACCACATCGGAGGGCTGCAGTCCAGAGGGTGGAGGCTTCTGCCCGGGCCTGAGCCGACGGTCTTCTTTGTGGTGAGATCATCAGCATGGAGTTTTAAGGTACTGGAAGGTACTGTCCACTTTAAAGGAAGTGCCTGGGCATTAGAGCAGCATCGGCTTGGAGAGCTGAAAGGGTGCGTCCATATCCTACTCCCCAGGGGCTGTGAGCGCCCTGCTGGAAAGCCATTCACCAGACAGAGCAGCTTTGCCTGCAGCCGTCACTGCTGGCCTCTGGGTCTCTGGATCTTGCCATCTCATTCAGGGTCCTATGGAAGTTATCCAGGGTTCCCAGGTCCTACCCTAGAGCTTGAAGTGTGAAGTGACAGCTAGCTCTCTCTCTCTCTCTCTCTCTCTCTCTCTCTCTCTCTCTCTCTCTCTCTCTCTCTCCCTCCCTCTCTCCCTCCCTCCCTCCTCTCCTCTCCTCTGCCCCTTCTGGTTTAAAAAGGTGCTTGATGAGGCAAGCAGACTTCTCTGGGACTGATGCACCAAGGCTGCCAAATGGGAAAAGTGGACTCTACATCTTCCATTGGTGGCCAAGGTAGTGTGGGAGGCTGTTCCCAGCACACAGTAGGTGCTTGGTGAATATCTGTTGTACTGAATGAGGAGCACTGGTACCCAAGCCAGAGAGCTGAAAGCCATCGCCCAATGACGCCCCTTCATTCGGGTCTCTAACAGCTCTCACGGCCGGGTCAGCCACCGTTCTGCTTGTACCGAGTGTGGCAGCACAGGAGAGACAGATAAGGGCAGATGTCAGCAATACTAAGGGCTTCCTCCCGGGAGGGCATGAGGTTCCACTCATTGTCTTGTGACTTCCATCCCTGCTGAATGGGGCTGCAAGGCCAAGGCTCCTTAAGAGAGGTCCTTACCTCGATCCAGTTAGAGCAATAACCACTTTTTAAATGTAAAATAAAGACAAATGAAAAGGCACACCCTTGTCCTCTGGTAAATGCCCAAGCGTTGCCCTCTTTTTCTGGCAATTGGCAGCAAGTCAGGATGTGTGGAGGAGGGAGTCAGTTCTCTTCCATTTTGGCCTGCAGCTTCTCAGGGACATGCCTGCCAGCCAAGCTGGAGTTGGAAGGGAATTCTCGAACAGATGGGGGTGCACGTGTAGGAGAAGAAAATAGCAGCTCTACCATCCTCTTTCTGAGGCTCCTCTCTAAGCTCAGCTTGGGCTGCCTCACCACATAGGTATGCAGGCGCCTGCTCAGTTTCTTCAAACAAAGGGTTTTCCTCTCTGCATAGTGCTGTGCGCTTATTCCTGCCAGAGGACTGTGGCTCTCATCTGGGGTGGGTAAGGAAGGACTGAAGAGTTACCAAGGCTGCTTTCTGCAGAAATCATTCAGTATTCACTCCATGCTCCTCTGGGCTGTTAAAGGAACATCATTAAGATCCCAACAGCAGGCTGAAAGGCAGGCAGAGTAATGATGCCATTAGCCAATGAGAGAACCAGTAAATGGGGCACCTCGAACATTCCTGTCCAGAGCCAGGGGAGAGAATGTCAGATGTGCTAGAGTAGGCTGTTCAGGTTCTGAAAGCAAAGGAAAAGGAAGGTCTCAGAAGCCTTTGAACAGACAAATCTCTAAGCCAAACCTCAGAGAGGTACTGCCTGGGCTCTCTGCCCACGTACTTCCAACTGAGAAGCACGAGGTAGGGGTGGTTAGGGGGGTTTGGAGAGCCCTGTTAGCCGGGGGGCAAGGCTCACTGTTCACCCATGCCTGTGGTTCCCCATAAAGGGTCTGAAGGCAGCCAACTGCTCCTTTAGCTTCAGTTCTGTCTTCTTCCTCCTGAAGTAAGGACTGCACTCTTCTCGAATCAAGCGTCACTTGCAGTCAAGCTCTACAGCTATTATCTGAGAAGTGGTTCCTCCGTTCCTCTCAGGTGACACCAAAGAGTTCTTGCAATTTGGGAAAGCTCTGTGACCAAGACCACAGCAGGCCTGTGGGAAGAAGGTGGTCAGAAAGGCAGGAGACCCTGACCTTGGGCAGTCACTTCTCTGAGGGTGCAGCAGGCTTCCTTTCTACCAATACCATATTCAAAGGGGATTTCCAGAGCCCACCCACCCAGGGCACTGGCTAAAGGCTGTCCTAGAAACATAGTGGAGGCCAAGGGGCTAAGGGAGGGAGAAGACTGCTGGTGTCTGAAGCAGGGGTCCCTTCTCCTGTCTTCTAACCCCTAGCTTTTCAATACAGGTGTCCTCTAAAATCTAATCCAGCCCTTTCCAGACATGCGTAACAACTCACCAGGCTATCTAGGATGATCTTTCAGATTTTTATTTTTTCTTTACTGATTTTGCTTTTAAGAAATAGCCTCCAGGAGCAAATTGCTTCTATAAACAGGATACTCTGCCCCCAGGACCAGCCCATGGTTGAAAAAAATACCAAACCTGAAAATACAGCCTGAAGCTAAGTCAAGGAGATCTCTGTATACAGATAATAGCCTGGGGACACATTTCAGGATTGTCACTTAGGCCACTTTAAATGTTACCCCAAAGATCATATTCCTCCTGTCTCTGACTGGGTACTTGGGAAGGCCAGACTTTCCATCTACATGCTCCGGCTGTTGTGGGGATAAATGGGTTGGAATGACAAGGCAGGCACTTGTTCATTAAGAATTCCAACCCTGACCAGCTGACTCTTTCTGTGACAAATGGGAACATTTACTCGACAGGTGCCGCAGGGGCGTGCATGCACGCGCGCGCGCGCGCGCGCGCGCACGCGCACACACACACACACACACACCCCAACCCTGCGATTGTTGGGGCAATAATTGTTTTCTCCTAGAAAACAGGACATTGGTTTCTTATCCTATAAAAGCTCAAGATGCCCTCATTAGAGAATGAGCCTGCTTGCTCCCTGTAGAGAAGATCCATTTTCTTCTTTTTCTACCCACTTCTCTGTAACAAGATGAATGGGAGTTATGAGATACCATCATTTCAGAGAATTAATTCATCCTGGTCTCTGAAACTTTTGATGCCTAGGGTAGAAACTGATACTAATGAACGGGAAATAATGACCAAAAGATCCTCTACACTTGACAGGAACAACGCATATACACAAGTCAAGACATTACACACTGAGACAACAAGCATATCGACTAGCCACACACACACACCACAGACAAACTGAGGGAGAATTTAGCATGGTAGCACTTGCCTGTAATCATCTCCTTCCTTTCAGGAGATGGGAGGCAGTCTGCATTTCATATTGAGATCCTATCTCAAAAACACTCCCAGTGGGGCTGGAGAGATGGCTGAGTGGTAACGAGCACTGGTTGCTCTTACGGAGGACCCAAGTTCAATTCCCAGCATCCAAAAAGCAGCTCATAGCTGTCTGTAACCCCAGTTCCAGGGGATCTGACACCCTCACACAAACATACATACAAGCAGGCAAAACACCAATGCACATAAAATAAGAAAGATAAATCACTAAAAAATGTTTAAACATACACACACACACACACACACACACACACACACACACACACACACACACACACCAGCAAGTCGGGGAGCCTGTCCAAGTCTGTTGCCATTTTCCCAGCAGGAGCAGGATTTGAAGAGCACTGGCTAATGTAGGTGACAACCTATCATTGCTGCTCCTGTATCCTCGCTCCTAGGGGTAAATCTAAGAAGATCAGGTTCATTAACGGAATCTACAGACTGTTGTCTCTCCATTATTTACCCACATCCATCCAATCTTCACACCAGTTTCTTGGAGCAAAAATTTCTTGAGAAGTTGGGTTAAGTACAACCACCAATTTCAAATGACTGATTCTGGCTTCTCCTACCTTCAAAGGGAGAATACTCTGGAATAGCATGGTTCCCTCCTTAATGCTAGCTGGAAAGAAACAGACACAGTGGCCAACAGGGAGCCATGGGAAGGAATGCAAGGAACTGCGTGCCTAATAGTGCTGCATGATCTCCCCCTCTGCAAAATCAGCAGCACAGTGATATTTCAGGCTCTCCCATGTCAGGCTCCTGACATGCACCATATGTAGCTGCAAATCCCAATCAATCTCAACATTTCTTAACTGCTGGAACGCCTTCCTCAACACTGTAATTTACCCTCCAAAGAGCAGGGAGCAAGCACCTCCTTCCCAGAACCATGTTCACTAAATGCTGCCACCCTCCCATATCCTCCTGAACGACCTACGCAGAGGAAGGCAAAGAACCCTCCTCCGAAGCCCGAAACAGACGGCCACAGTACATATGCCACTGACAAGAACTTTTATTTCTTTTTAATGACATTAAACACAACTGCTACAAGGGGAAAAACATGATTAAAAAAAAAAAAAAGGAGGCACCAAACTTCAGTTTCATAATTGATCCTGACAACAATGCAAGTCAATCAGAGCCCATATTAGATGCAAAACTATTGGTTATTTCAGGCTCCTTACTTACAAGTAAACTATTTAATAGCAAATTTTTATTTTGCTTTGTCAAGACCCCTGTGATAACAATGTCATCATGGATGATAAAAGCTAGGTAGAGTTAAATGCACACATCCCTCACTCAAATTTAAAAATACAGCAAGAATTTAATCTACAATACAAGACTTAGAGACCAATACCAAATATAATAAAAGAGATATGCAGCTCTGAAGAGATTAAAACTCTGGATTCTGCCCATTACCACCTTTAAGGCTAACATGCCAGATAACGAATTTTCTTTGGCTTTGTTTTCTCCTTAAAGAATACCATGTTAACCACCAGAGAACAGCTCTCTCCTCCCCCAGTCCAACAGATTTAATTAGGCTGCTAACACTTTGGAAAAACAGAATTATCTGAGCTAGAGGAAATGTGATTGTCACATTTTCTAGTTAACCTGTCACTCATCTGATTTGGCAAAGGCAATGCTCCCATTATACATTCAGTCTTTAACCCCCCAGCACCAGGAGAGCAACAGCATCTCAGATTTCTGCCTAAGCAAACACTGTCCTTTCTTTACTCCCTGGGTTATCTGTGGGGACTGACTACTCAGCACACTAACTACTCCAGCTAGATTAAATTTTAACTTTGTTTTGGTCCCAAAGGCGATTATTTGGCATTTCTCCCTCTATCAGGCTAACTTACAGCATCTTGGACAAGTGACCAAGGAAGTAAACGATAATTATGCCAACTGAGAGAAGAACTCTGACCCTGCCTTTGAAGGTCTAGTCACTGATCTAAACCAAAGAACCAAGGAATAGAAAATCCTTGCTGGGAAAAAAATAAGTCAAAAGCTGGCCATGGTGGCACACACCTTTAATCCCAGTACTCAAGGAAGAGGTCGGCAGATCTCTGAGTTTGAGGTCAGCCTAGTCTACAGAGTGAGTTCCAGGAAGCCAGGACTACACAGAGAAACCCTGTCTTGAGGGGGGAAAAAAAAAACAAAGAAAATTCTTGCTGGGCATAGTGATACACACCTGTAATTCCAGTACTTAAGAAGTGGGGCAGGAAGATCAGAAGTTCAAGACCATCTTGGGCTAAATAGTGCATGGAAGGCCAACCTAGGCTATATAGGAGACCCTGTCTCAAAAACAAAGACAAACAAACAAACAAATGAACAAACGAACAAACAAAAAAAAGAGTAAAAAAAGAAACACTTGACTACATAAAACCAACAAACAAGAACATTCATCCAAACCCACTGAAGGCTTGGGGAAAAAAAAAAAATCAAAGTCACTTTTTCAGTCAAATCCCAGCACTTGGGAGCCAGAGGCAGGTGGATCTCTGAGTGAGGTCAGCCTGGTCTACAGAGCAAGTTCTAGGACAGCCAGGGCTACACATAGAAACACTATCTCAAAACCCCTCTTCCCCAAACAAAAAATCACTTTTCTAAAGTGGAGTCCAGTTTAGGATGGGTTATCCACATAAAAAAAATGGGACTGATGAAAGAAAACCACAACTAGGAATGACCTTCACAGACAGTGAAAGATAGCAGCGTGAACACATGCTGTAAACCTCCCCAAATGATGTCTAGAGCTGCCGGGAGACATCCACTGAGAGAGACACACAAGCCTATCAGCTTTGGTCAGAGCCCGAACCTCACTCTAGAGCAGGTAATGTGGACGGGCTCCACCCCAATTTCCCTGGATGTCCTTGAGCACTACTGTGAAGATGGAGGCTGACCAAATGCCAAACGCTACCATCCAGAGTGTAGAGGGACCCATAATCAACCAGAGAGGAAAGAGGGCCTCTCCAAAGGCTTCCACAGCAAGGAGGCTCCTTGACTAACACAACACACAAACTTGGGGTTCTGCACATGAAACTGAAGATTCCCAGACATCTCAATGGCACTGGCCCGTCATCAAGGCAAGATTCTGGTGGAGTTCTCCAGTAAACAGAGGGCATTCTGAAAAGCGTGTCTGAGTCTACCAGGACATAAGAACACCTCCTGTAAAACTCGAGGTGGTCATTGGAGTGGGAAAAAAGGAAAAAAAAAATCCTTGAAGGGACAAGAGAAACCAAGCAGTCACAAGACCACAGAGTATTCAACAAGGGTTAGTCAGCTGTCTTCTGTCAGTTACGATGTGTAAGGTTTACAAACACTGTGAGCAAGATATAGTTAACAGAAAACGAAAAAAAGGCAATAGCTTTAAAAAATAAAGGCAGCTAATCGGTACACAAAGGAGAGGATTTACATTTTTAACTTATCCTTTCAACAGGACTTTTCTCTTACTCCATCTTATTTTAAATGTCCTGAATCGCCAACCTTAAAATACTGACAGGTACTCAAGAGACTCAAATTTAGAGAGGAGTTGTTAAAAGTGACTTCTGCCCATTCACGAGTCATCAACAATAACACTGGCTTGTGGCCTGCAGAACAATCCCTTCCTTACAGAAGACTGGAAGATGATTTCCTTGAGGTAATCATCTAAGAGCTAAGAGCCGGTATGTTACTTAAGCCTGGATGTTCTGAAGTAATGCAGGCCTTCAAAAGGGGGCTACCTTCATTTTACATTCATAAGAAAGAAAGAAAACAGAAAACTACTACTTAATATTGCTGAAACATGTACAGACAGACACATAAATCAGAAGGATCCTCAAAAAAAAAAAATTAAGACAGTAATGGGCATTTCCAAAAGGTGACAAATACTTTAAATAAAAAATTTGTGAAATATAAAACTCAAAATATACAAACAAAAATAGCAAAGGAGATAAGACGCTGCTGTGGACTGGGTCCTGGGCAGGGACTGTCACTGTTGATGGGGCGACACATATGGACTGTACGAGAAGTCTGGGAGGCGCTGGAAACGGTGGTGGCTCCGCTTGTTTCTGTCAACCCACTGACTCAGACTGTATCTCTGCAGGGGTTTCTGCCGGAACCGGGCATAGTTTCTATTGAGAAGAGAATAAAAACAACAGGGATTTTCAGTTGGAATGGCCACTTGTACACAAAATAGCTACAAAATTTGTTTGTTTTAGCTTGTTTTTCGAGATAGGGTTTCTCTGTATAGCAGCCCTGGCTGTCCTGGAACTTGATTTGTAGCCCAGGCTGGCCTTGAACTCAGAGATCCTCCTGCCTCTGCCTCACAGGTGCTAGGATTAAAGGCATGTGCTACCATGTCCAGCTGTTTTCATAACTATTTTTGAAGACATTTTTACTCCTAGAAGTCAGATTATATATGTTGTTGTTTGTCTATGAGACAGGGTCTCTCTAACTCTCCTGGAACTATGTCGATCAGGCTAACCTCAAACTCACAGAGATTTACCTAATTCTGCCTCCTGAGTAAGACTAATATAATATTTTGATGTTAAAATTTAAAATTTGTATACTATTTTCATCCTATGAAAACCATATCATAAATGCTGTTTCCTTTCAACTCTCAAGGCCACCTCGTTCCTATGGTATTGTTATGGTAAGCGCCATATATCTCATGTTCTAAAGAAAATCAATGTGTCAGGTTTAAGAACCAGGCATGGAGTGTGGGAGTGACTTCTCTTGTGCTTCTATATTCTAACCAAAAAAATAAATATCATTGATTTCTGATGCTTTAAAAAAAAAAAAAAAGAAAGAAAAGAAAAGAAAAAAACCAGGCATGGCAGTGTACATCTGTAATCCCTACACTCTGAGTCAAGGCATCCTCAGCTACAGCTACATCTACATGACCAGTGTGAGCTACAGAAGGCCCTGTCTCAAAAAACCAAAAATAGTTCAAGGAGAATTTCCCCCCTTTAGAAGTGTTTCGAGCAGGATGTCTTTCACTGACTCATCAGACCCACACCTCCAACAGAACTGCACTGTTAACATAGATCAAGGTTGCTAAGGCCACAGCAGTTCAAATTAGATAAAAAGAATTCCCAGAGAAGGTAAGTCATCTTGTGAGTAGCATATGGTAAGTTTGGAGACTGAATAACCAATAACACAGACCCATAGTAAGGTCCGAGAGTCACCTGTTCTGGGTGTGGGTTCTGAGAAAGATCCTTAATAATTTGACCCAATCTCAATTCCAAAAATGTTACCAATAACCACTTAGGAAGCTTGTCAAAGATACAGATTCTTAGCCAGGTGTGGTGGGATCACACATGTAATCCCAGTATGGGGGAAGCCAAGGCAAAGGGGTCAGCAAGATGGCCCTGTGGGTAAAGGGATCTGCCAGCACACCTAACCAAGCTGAATTCAAGCCCAGAACTCCCCGTGGGAAGAGGGTTGTGTTCTGACCTCCATGTGCATGCTGTGGTGCAAGTGTCCAGCTGGGCCTTGCAATACTACTGACTCAGAAAAGGATTCTTAGACCCTTTCTCCCCTGGAGTGAAGGCTGGGACATTACCCAGGGAGTTGTGAGAAGCAGCCAAGTTTGGGAATAATTTGAACAGTACTTGACTTTTATCTACCACTATATGAGACTATCTGTTGAATTATTTAAACACCCTCTTAAGTTAATATTAGTGAAAGCCTACTAGGAAAGTACTGACATTAATTTCTACACTAATAAGGAAATTAAACCTCAGGTTAAATAAATTTCCCAAGGTCACATAGAGGAGTAGGGAGAAAAGCCTGGATTACAATTCATTTATCTGACTCCAAAATGTAATTAGTAACAACTATGTTACATTGCCCCCTCTTTTTTGAGGGTATGTGTGTGTGTATATGTGTGTATATGTGTGTGTGTGTGTGTGTGTGTGTGTGTGTGTGTGCAGAAGAGCTTACAACTGAGCTACATTTCCATCCCTACACCATCTGAGAACTGCTTATGTTTTCTGGTTTTATTTCATGTTATTTAGTTGTTTGTTTATTTATTTATTTAGAGAATCTTGCTATGCATCCTGGAATTTGCTATGTACCCCAAGATAGCTTAGAATTTATAGCAATGGGGTTGGAGAGGTGGCTCAGAGGGGCTGGAGAGATGGCTCAGAGGTTAAGAGCACTGGCTGTTCTTCCAGAGGTCATGAGTTCAACTCCCAGCAACCACATGGTGGCTCACAACCATCTGTAATGAGGTCTGGTGCCCTCTTCTGGTGATCAGGTACATGCAAGCAAGCAGAATACTGTGTATAGATAAATAATTTATAGCAATTATCCTGCTTCTGCCTGCAGAGTGCTTACGTGCTGTGGTTCTGACGGAAGCCAGCATAACTAGAAGACTAGGCAGGAAGAGTAGATGAGGTTGGTGAGTCCAGCAAAGCACACAGACATTCTCAGAGGAGTGATGGCTAGCTGGCTGGAAGCCAGTGGCAAAGAGTGAGAAAGAAGGGAGCTTGACTTATGCTTTAGGAGAATCTGTCTAGCTTCTGATGTAAGAACAGTAAGCAGGCAATGACAGATGTAGGGCAATGACAGATGTAGGGTACTTGCAATAATCCAGGAAAAATAACGAAATATGGTCAGCTTTGGGTATATGTAGAAGCTGTATGATTTCCTTATGCCATAATATGGAGTGCGAAAGAAAAATGTTATAGTAACACCGAGGCTTTTGTGTTTTTTTTTTTTTTTGTTTTGTTTTTGTTTTTTTTGTTTTTCGAGACAGGGTTTCTCTGTGTAGCTTTGCGCCTTTCCTGGAACTCGCTTTGGAGACCAGGCTGGCCTCGAACTCACAGAGATTCGCCTGCCTCTGCCTCCCGAGTGCTGGGATTAAAGGCGTGCGCCACCACCGCCCGGCTTGTTTTTTTTTTTAAAGACAGGGTCTCGCTATGTAGACCTGGCTCGCCTGGAACTATGTAGACTGAGGTGGCCTTGAACTCACAGAGATCTGCCTGCTTTGGGGATTAAAGGCGTATACAACCCTAAGGTTTCTGAGTCACTGAATTAAAGTTAAAACTGTACTGCATCAAGAACATAGATTTTTTTTTCAAGATTTATTTATTTAGTATACAGCATGTATGACTGCAGGTCAGAAGAGGGCGCCAGATCTCATTACAGATGGTTGTGAGCCACCTTGTGGGTGCTGGGAATTGAACTCAGGACCTCTGGAAAAGCAGTCAGTGCTCTTAACCGCTGAGCCATCTCTCCAGCCCCAAACAGATTTTTTTTAAAAAATGCGTTTGTTTATTTATTTATTTGTGTGTGTGTGTGTGTGTGTGTGTGTGTGTGTGTGTGTGTGTGTAGGTGCCCATGTGCCACAGCTCATGTATGAAAAGCAGAGGACAATTTGCAGGAGTTGGTTCTCTTCTACCATGTGGGTTCTGGGGATGAACATAAGCTGAGAGCCTTGGCATCAATGGCCTGTACTCACTGAGCAATCTTGCCAGCTCAAGAACCCAGATTTTAGTTTAGTTTACCTGTGATAGTACATGCCTATAATCTTGCCATCCAGGAAGTAGAAGCATCATGGTTTTGATCCTAGCCTGGCTACATAAGGAGACCCCATCTCAAAACAGACAAACACACGCTCTAGATTTTTTGTTTGTTTGTTTGTTTGTTTTGAGACAGACTCTCAGTATGGAACCCTGGCTGGCCTAGAACTTGCAATGTAACTTGCTCTGTAGACCAGACTGGCCTCAAACTCAAGAGATCCACTGGCCTCTGCATCCCAAGTGCTGTGATTAAAGGTATGTGCTACCCTGCCCAGACTAGTACCCTGGAAACTTAAGCTGGGTATGGCAGTGCATGACTATATGATGAATAAGACTTGGGAGCCTGAGGCTGGCCTGAACAGCAAGACCTTGTAACGTTGAAGGAGGAGGAAGAAGAGGAAGAGGAGGGGGAGGAAGTAATTCTTGATTCAGGGGCCAACAAGACGCCTCAGTGGGCAAAAGCACTTTCTGCAAAAACCTGACAACCTGCCGAGCAGTGGTGGCGCACGCCTTGAATCCCAGCACTTGGGAGGCAGAGCCTGGGCTACCAAGTGAGTTCTACACAGAGAAACCCTGTCTCGAAAAACCAAAAAAAAAAAAAAAAACAACCAAACCTGACAACCTGAGTTCAACCCCTGAATTCATGTAAAGGTGGACGGAGAGAACTGACTCCACTGCACATGTACCACACATGCACGTGCTCCCCCCATACACGTCACATGTGCACAATGATAAATAAGACAGAAACCAGATTTTTAGAACCAGAAATTTTAGTGACAACCACAAAACTGAAGTGAACCAATCATGATCATAGAGCTAGTTAGTTAAATATTGTGCACCGAGTATTAAAACCTGAATTCTGGTCCAATTCATAGTTCATTCTAAGCCCATGTTTCTTTTTCTGGAAATAAAGACCTGGAAATCATATTTCCCTTGCAACCAAATTCTAGCCTTTCCACCTTCAGAAGGAAGAAGCCCCACTTACCGTGTAGTAAGATCTGAAGGATGCTGCCAGTCTGGGTTCTGCATATGAACTTGGTCCATCAGAGCATCTAGCTCTCCCAAGGTACCTGTGATAGAGGGATGAGTACTTAGTAAGCAGTTGAGTGTACTATGTTTGCCTCGATCAACAAAGCACATGTTTTAAGGAAAAGAAAACAGGCACTTGACCTTCTAATACCTGCTGGGATTATCACAAGCAGCCAGCACAGAAACTCTAGGCCAGACGGAGGCACTGCTTTTAGACAGTGACGGGGAAACAGAAATGGCAATGATCATTTCTTTAACACTTCAGAGGTACCTAAGAATGTGGCAGTGAACAGGACATGTCTCTCTGCCCTCACAGCATGTGGGAAGGAGACATGCAAGCAGCTGCTCAGACTGGGGTGTGGGAACCAGGAAAACTAGTCAGGGGTCAGAAGGAGCATAGACATCAGTGAGGTAACAGGTTATAGGAGGCTTGTTTAAGAAAAGTAGCTATTACAAAGGCTCAGAGACAAAGAACAGTAAAACACACTGAAGAAAAACTAAGTTTAGAGCAGATGGAGACAAGCACTCTTTGCTAACAAGAAAAACAGTTAAAGACAATTTTCCACAATCCTTGAGAACCTGACAAAATACTACATACTTCATGTTATCTTATTAAAAAATCATATATGCCAGGCATGATGGTACACGCCTTTAACCTCAGTCCTTGGGAGGCAGAGGCAGGCATGGGATCTCTGTGAGTTCATGGCCAATCTGTTTTACAGATCAAGTTCCAGATCAGCCAGGGCTGTTACACAGAGCCTCTGTCTTGGGGGGAAAAAAATCACGTATGTTCAAAACAGCTATTCTAACTTATCTTAGATAGTGTTCTGTTGCTGTGAAGAGACACCATGACCAAGGCAATTCCTATAAAAGAAAGCATTTAATTGAAGGCTTGTTAAGTTTTAGAGAGTTAGTCCATGATCATCATGGCAGGAAATAGACAGGTATGGTGCTAGAGTAGTAGCTGGTGGCTTTACATCATAATTTGCAGGTAGCAGGCAGAAAGAGAAACTGGGCTTGGTGTGGGCTTTTGGAAACTCAAAGCCCACCCTTAGTGACACACTCCATCCAACAAGGCCACACCTTCCAATTCTTCTAAAACCAGTAACTGGTAGAGGGACCATTCAAACCTATGAGCTTACGGTGGCTTTCTCATTCAAACTACCATGTAAGTGCACAGAAGTTCACTGAAATTTCAGTGTGTGGGTTTTTTTATTTGCAAGTCCTTTAAAAATAAGATTTTTAAAAAAATCATATGGAGATAAATGTTCTTAATATCATTTGAAGTAAATTTGTTTTAACTGTTTAATCACCCAGAATTCAACTTGTTCTTCTGTGACACCATGCTCCTCCACTACGTGAAATACTTTTTTTAAAAAAATTGTTTTTTTGCTGGGTGGTGGTGACACACAGCTTTAATCTCAGCATTTGGGAAGCAGAGGCAGGCAGATCTCTGAGTTTGAGGCCAGTCTGATCTACAGAGTGAGTTCTAGGTCAACCAGTACTCCATAAAGAAACCCAGTCTCAAAAAAATAAAAGTTTTAGATTCATATTTATGTGCATATATGTGTGTAAGAGACATGCAGGCCTGGTGTGCATAGAGGTCAGAAGAAGGCACTGGCTTCCCAGAAACTGAGTTATGAATGGTTGCTATCTACCATGTGAGTACTGGAAACAAGACCTGGGGCCTCTGTAAGAACAATTAAGTTCTGGACGTGACAGGACAAAGGTTCCTATATCTTGTCTCGGCTGTAACCATCTTTGGTTTCACCTGAAACTCTGCCCCTTCTTTATCCCCCACCCGTCACTGTGAAATGCCCCAGCTAATGGCATGGTTTGGCTTCTGTTAAAACTGCTTGCTTCTTTACTTCCTTCTGCAACTGCCATCCAGGATGCAGTTTTTCTGGGTCCTTTGCCTTTTTAAATGCTCCCCATAAAATACATTCAGGGACGCTCTGAAAGAAGTGCTTCTCTCCAGACAGTCTCCAGCAGGTCTAATGCAGAACCTCAAGTCAGATTTTGGTCATGCTGAGTGGTCTTTGGGTCTGTATCCTGCAACACGAGTAGCCACTCAGCCATTTCTCCAGCCTTAACACTTGGGGGCTAAGGCAGGAGGACTGCCATGGGTTCAAGGCTACCCTGGTCTACAGAGGCCACATCTCAGAAACAAATAAATAAACAAAAACCCAAAAATGAAAAAGAAAGAAGAAAACCAGTAACAGTAACACCACTACCCTGAAACTTGGGGCTGGAGAGACTGACTGCTCAGCACTTTCTGCTCTTGCAGAGGACCTGGGTTCGGTTCCCGGTATCCACATGGCTAACAGCTACTTGCCACTCCAGTTCCAGAGGATCCAACACCCTCTTATGATTTCCACAGGCAGCAAGCATGCACGTGGTACAGATGATATCCCATGTACATAAAATAAAAATAAATCTTAAAAAACAAAACAAAACCTTAAACTTGAGATTAAACTGCACAAAAACAAATAAAAATTAAACCCTAGTTGGGAAACAATTTCCCTAGACCAGTGGTTCTCAAATTGAATATGTATATATTAAGATGGAGATTACATAACAGATTGCCGGTGGCTAACACCCCAGAGTTTCTGGTTGTGTAGGTCTGGGGTTTCTAACATATTCTTAGTGCTGCCAATACTGCTTATCTAAGAACCTCTTTATTTTTTTTAAATCACCTTAAAATGTTAATAGTCTTTATCTGTTATTATGTATATATTATACACACACACATATATATTAAAATACCTTTCCCTAATTAAAAGCATTTTTAGATACAGGGAACTGTAAATGACATAGTAATAAAAATATAGACAATTCACTAAGTGCATCAATCACATTCCAGGATGGGCTCCATGCCCAGGACTTCCGTGATTTTTTTTTTGTGTGCTTTCAGTTTTTGTTTGTTATTTTTTATAATATTAGTTTTTTGTTTGTTGTTTTGGGGAGTGCTTTTTTTTTAAAGGAAGAAAGAACATGAAGTTAGGTGGGTAGGGAGATGGGGAAGGGAAAGTATATGATCAAAATATACTCAATGAAAAAAAAACCCAAATTCTTAAAAAAATATGTATATACATATATGCATACACAATTGCTTCTGCATTTTTTAACCATTTCCTAGAACAAGGTAATAAACACAAGTGAAACGAAGGTGAATCCTGTTCATTTCTAAAACAGCAATGAGATTCTATTCCTAATTTTAAACACACTCCTATAACCAGTTATATATACCTAAACAGAAAACTCAACTTCAATAGGCTGAGAGAGGGGACTATTCTCCATCTTTGTGAAGAGTTGACATTACTAATTATTTCCAATTACCTTTAGAAAGGAAAAACAATGACATACTATTGACTGAGACAAGATTACTGCTTTTCTTGTTATTTGTTTGAGACAGGGCTGTGTAGTCCCCACTAAACTAGAGCTCCCTATATAGACCCAACTGGCCTCAAACAAAGATCTGTCGGCCTCTGCCTCCAGAGTACTGGAATCAAAGGCATACGTTACCATATTATACCTGGACTGGATTATGGCTTTCATTTTTGTTTTTTCTCTGTGACAGGGTTTCTCTGTGTAGCCTTGGCTGTCCTGGAACTCACTCTGTAGACCAGGCTAGTGGATTATGTTTTTTAACATACTATATTGTAGAAAGCTAAGCAACGGAGGCAATGTGAGATGCCAGTGGCCGTGGGCTCTAGAGGCAATCCTATCCCACCTGTTTAACCTCATGAAGATGGGTTTTGTCACAGTTTGTACCATGAACATGGCAGGCTGGTGTCCCTTGGCACCCTTGTTTTATTTTAGACTTGGAATTTGGGGTCAGAGCTGATTGGCAGCATGGGGAGAAACCATGATGCAGAGTGGCAGCACGCTGGGGCCATTCATGGCTACCAGAATAGGCATATAAACGCTAACGGAGACAATGAATGCCTGCTAAATTTACTTCCCATCCATTCTGACACTTGTACTGTAACAGAACAAAGCTTTTTCAAAATGGGTGACATGATGACTCGGCAGGTCAGGGCACTTGACAATATGCATGCCAACCTGAGTTTGGTCCTTTTAAAGCAGTTAAAAGACAGAACCCAGCTGGGCAGTGGTGGCCCACGCCTTTAATCGCAGCACTTGGGAGGCAGAGGCAGGTGGATCTCTGTGAGTTTGAGACCAGCCTAGTCCACAAAGTGAGTTCCAGGACAGCCAAGGCTACACAAAGAAACCCTGTCTCAAAAAACCAAAATCCAGTCTCCCCCCACCCCACAAAAAAGATATCTTGGGCAGGGGTGGCGCAAGCCTTTAATCCTAGCACGCAGGCAGCAGAGACAGGTGAATCTCTGAAAATGTAAAAACATATTCACTTAGTAAGTCAATCTTACTTAAATTAGGACTTTTGAACACAACTATTTTCTTAAAAAAAAAAAAAAAAAGTTAGGTGTAGTTGTCATACTCACTAGTAATCCCAGTGCTGGGGAGGTAGAAGCAGGAAGATCACTAAGGTTCACTGGCCAGACAGCCTAGTTTAATTCACAAGGTCCAGGCCAATGAGAGACCTTGCAACAAAAAACCCAAGGTGGATGACTACTGAAGAATGCGCACGCACGCGCGCGCGCGCGCACACACACACACACACACACACAGCACGCACAAACACAGATACTTGTCTCATAAACAAGGCAGTGGCTATTATCACCCAGTAGCTTCTCTGAAACGGCCTTTTCATTACGTAGCCCTGGCTGGCATTGAACGCATTACATAGAGCAGGCTGGCCTTGAACTCAAGAGATCTGCCTGCCTCTGCCTCCCAAGTACACGGGTTAAAGGCAAGTACCATCATGCCCAGCCTTACTAAGTAAATTTTTTAAAATAAAAGCTATTGTCTGCCCTTTCTCTATATATTTTTTTCTTTTTTAATTTATCAAGGCAGGGTCCCCCCTACACCAGATCTAGCTTTTTAGTGCCAGGAAAAATCATTTTGTTTTAGGGATGTACTTTTTGGGATTCTTCAAATACTCCATTGTAGGGAGCAT